TTGAGTATGTTGCTAATATTACTTTTCTGTTATATTTACCTTTTGTGTTTACAAAGGTTGAAATTCTGTTATGTTTCAAAGTAAGCAAAATTGAGTTCAATATACTACTATTACTACATAATCAACAAATATTGAAGGAAAACTGCTCTTTTGATTTTGATTGTTCAATCAATTTGATAGAGTGGTCTTTTTCACTGGTTTAGTTTTTAAATTATTAAAACTAAATTGACACTTTCCAAATTTAATTTATTCTAGTTCTTGTGAAGCAGGTGCTGAATGCTGGCAAAAATAAGCTTAAATCAATGGATGAGGTCAAATCTCTTTTGAGCTTACGTGCATTGATCTTGAATGGTAGGATCCATCTTGACCAACTGCATCACCTCAGTTTTTAATTTCTGATGTATATAGTAATTTTGTTGGTTGGAAAATTACAATTTTAAATTTCCTTATTTCCGCTAATGAATCCCCCTTTGTGCAGATTAACTTGTGCATGAAGGTCTTAAATACATGTTTCAAGATAAAGGCCTTGTAGCTGTGAGGAGGCATACTACGCCTCTGCCCTAAGAGAGCAGCCAGATTGTTGAGGTTGCTTTCAGATGCCTATCCACTTTTGCTTCTCTTCATCTGTAGGGTAATTCATCAACAAAGATTAAATCTTATTTCCTTCTCAAATGTGATGAACTTGGTCTTTTGTGATCTTCAAGGCAGTCAATTGCAGGTAGATCCTCATATAACATTTAGTTCCAAAAAAAATTATAAAGGGGTTAGCTGCAAATTTTAAAACAAATAAGATAAACGACACCAAACAATAACCACCAAACAATAAAATGATTCTGCACATCCAAACACAACCTTAAATTTTTACTGGATTGTTGCTGGTGGACTGATAGCCCTTTGAAAAAACTTACCTATTTAGCCTTTTGGTGTGGCGTTTGAGATCCATGTAGGTTCCCCTAGAATGGATGCTACAAGTAGAGACGAGAGAATGAACTCACTCAATAGTCAATCCGAAATAAAATGTCTTAACTCAATGAGGAATATAGATTTAATCTCTCAAATTTCCAAATCATCTGATCTAGCACTGGCCAGCTACTAACTGTAAGCTTATCGAATTCCAAATAAACTCACAAACTAGATAAAAGATTTTTAAAAAATGTATAATAAACTAAAACAGAAGCAACGAAAAAGGAAAAGTAGGCATTTACAACACAAACAAGCTATTTAAAAGCAGAGCAGGTTAGGAACAAAAGCTTGAATGTATTCTATGTTGCAAGAATATTCATGTAATCTTTTTCAGGGATCCTCTAAGGAAAACATCTGTCCATATCTTCTTTCTCTCCCCCTCACAATGAAAACAGCAGTGCATCAAACTTCAAACAATAGTACAGGGTAATGAAGCAAACAAATCCTCACTCATAAGAAATAAGGCACTCCAGTTCTGGGGCCTCTCATCTGGTTGTTTTCCTCTGTTTCAATGAAGAACTTCACCTCTCTCTCCTAACAGACAAAGGGGAAAAACACAGCACCCATAGAAAATTCAATTAATCAAATCTATATAAATGAGCCAAAAAGCCACAACCAAGTTAAAAGAGTGAAAAGTTTAGTGGCAGTACCATATTCTCATTGATGCTCAATATTGAAGCTACATTACCACAGCGATAACAATAATTTGGAGCAGACCATACCTGATAAACCAAGAAGCACACAGTAAAATTAATTAAAATATCACCAAATTTGAAGTGATGTTATATACACTAGTCATGTCACATAGACTCAAGTCCCCCTATCAAGTGTGGATATTATACATCTAAACTCCCAAATTTCTTGGCATGTTTCTCTTATTTCTCAAGGTAGAATACTGACTTTATGTAAGACAGTGTAAAAGCAACATAAAATGAAAAAATAAAAAACAATTTCTTAGTATTCGTGTTTTATTTCCTAAGGTGGAATGGTGACTTTTCTTCAAGATGGCACTTCACTTGCTCTAAAGCAATCATGTCACAAAAAAACATAATAAGGGAGGTCTATCAATTAATTACACAGTAAATTTGCATAACTAAACATGCTTGTTGGGCCCAATTTTGACTGGACATGTCGGACACACAGCCTATATCCTTACTCCAGCCATATGTTTAGAAGTGTCCATGTAACATAATACACTGAGTTAAAGACTTCACAACTCACAGTTACAAGGCCTTTATCTTGAAACATGTATTTAAGACCTTCCTGCACAAGTTAATCTGCACAAAGGGAGATTCATTAACGGAAATAAGGAAATTTAAAATTGTAATTTTCCAACCAACAAAATTACTATATACATCAGAAATTAAAAACTGAGGTGATGCAATTGGTCAAGATGGATCCTACCATTCAAGATCAATGCACGTAAGCTCAAAAGAGATCTGACCTCATCCATTGATTTAAGCTTATTTTTGCCAGCATTCAGCACCTGCTTCACAAGAACTTGAATAAATTAAATTTGGAAAGTGTCAATTTAGTTTTAATAATTTAAAAACTAAACCAGTGAAAAAGACCACTCTATCTCATCATGTGCTGCCAATTGACATTGCAAACGTATCTAAAAGGATTTTAGTATGTACATATATATATTCGCCTTAAAGAATAAAGTATTCAACAATTTAAAAGATGAACTAAGTATCAAGTTTGAAGCATACACAAAGAAATATGCAATAAATTTTACAAGATTCAATCACATTAGTAACTAGAGAGTTTAGGGATTAAAATTCAAGATTCCAAATACAAATTGATTGAACAATCAAAATCAAAAGAGCAGTTTTCCTTCAATATTTGTTGATTATTTAGTAATAGTAGTATATTGAACTCAATTTTGCTTACTTTGAAACATAACAGAATTTCAACCTTTGTAAACACAAAAGGTAAATATAACAGAAAGGTAATATTAGCAACATACTCAAACAAAACATTCAATTGCTTCTATTTTAACAACAATCTTGTCTTATTGAAGCCAGTTTATAGTTCAAACGGTTCTCCGCAAATATGCCGGTTTTTGTCCTTGAACAATTTAAGAGAGTTGACTGGACTGGAGCCTCACCTGGTCAACTGTTCAACCGGTTGAACCGGCCAGTCTAGTCCGGTTTTCAAAACCTTGATTCCATGAAAATGACTCTATCTAGCTCAAGTGTTTTATTGGATTGCATGTTCCTTTTTATTGTTGTTGGTATGTAGCTCAAGTGTTTTTGAATCACTGTTTTCTCTTTTCAATACAAGTTCTTCCACATCCAAAGTCTTTATAAGGCTTTCTTGAAGATCATAATAATGAATTGAGAGAGATGTTTCCATTACAGCACTGAAATAGGCTTCGAAATGAAGAGTTTCAGAGAGAGACAGAGAGACGATGGAGCTTACCTTAGTAGACGATGGTACAGATGGTGTTTTGGATCTTCGAAATCGAAATCGCTCTCAGATGAAATCATTGAGACCGATCTGAATCTGTGCGAATGATAAGCATTTAGAGAGGGTTGCGAGAGAGAGAGAGAGAGAGAGAGAGAGAGAGAGAACTCACCTACCTCGTCGGTGAAAATGGTGGTGGCGGTGGAGCTTCGAAATCGAAATCGAAATCAGAGAAGGCGTAAGGATTCAAAATAAGAGAACTTCAAAATCAAAATCGAAACTGATCTATTGATTTCTGCTGGAAGAGATTAGGGCATCTGTTTAGAGAGAGAGAGAGAGAGAGAGAGAGAGAGAGATCATATAGTTAAACGGTGCCGTTTTAATATTGAACAAAAACGACGGTTAAAAAACGCCGTTAAATAGTATAAAATGTGGTGTTTCATAAAACGCCGTTAAAGAAGCGTCGTCAAAACCTATAATTCCTGTAGTGAGTCTTGAAATGACTAATTGTTGAGGATACTTGAGAAGAGAGAATTGTGTTATTGGATGATGAATTGGAATAAAAGTATTTATATTCATCTTGTGAAATTGGCATATCAATTTATTTGATTACATTAAACTTTGAAAGTTGATTTGAAAACTTGCATTGAGAAAAGAATATTGAGAAACAAGACGAGTTTGTTGGGGATTGGGGTAAATACGTTGGTAAGTCTTGATAGGTGGTGCAGATGATATTCAATAAGTTGGCCTGATAGTCGAGGATGAAAGACCGAAAACCCGCGCAGATAGGTGTCGAGCCTTCCGATTAATACCGGTAAAAATGACAATTTGGTAGTACTTATATAGTCTACTTGCAGACACCGATCTAGGGATTACCAGAGTCGTATTTACAGCCCTTGAAATAAATTGTTAAGTTTTGAACAATTGAAATTGCATGATATCATTGAGCATGATGGTTTTCAAAAGATAAAAATGTGATTTATCTTCAAAAAGGGCATAGCATGGCATGTACATTTCATCTCTTGAGACTTGTATAAAATGTATATATTTTGTTAAGAATTTCTTACTGGGCTTTATGCTCACCCTACGAGATTTTTGTGCAGGAAAAGATGTGGTAATCCTACCCAACTAGAGGCGTGTAAGTATGTGTGTTGGGAGCACAATGCTCTCATTTTGCTGTGACTCTGTGTGTAAGCCAATGGCTGTGTTTGTATGGGTTTGAATAACCGTTTTGTGTAACCAGGCTCAAGCCTTGAAAACTTGTAAACCTTTGGAGGTATTTATTTGTTTATTTACTTGTTGTTGGATTAATGTATTTTTGCATGAAGAACTATTGTATTATGTAATGTAAGTTTGGAGATTTATATTCGATTTTCCTTGAAAGAGCCATGATTGTTATCTTATCATTTGGGTTAGAAATTTAGAGCGTTACATTAAAAATTAATTGAGTATCAATCATTTTAAGTAATACTCATTTAATAAGTTCATTTCTAGTTTTATCAAGATTTTCTAAGTTTAATCACCTTCTTATTTTAAAAATAAAAATTCATTATTTTCTTAAATTTTAACAAATTTTGTTTAGATAATTTTTTTTACTACACTATTGTTCATAGGTGAAGTGAAATCATACCTGTAATATTTTAATATAATTAAAATTTTAATTTATTTTTTATATAAAATTGGACTGAATTCAGGTCTCTCGCGCGGCATCTCGGGCTCCGCCCAACTTAGGGCCTAAAATTCTTTTCCAATCTCAACTCTAAAGTGTCATTTTTGGTATAATTTTTTTTCAAATAATGTAAATGGTTGGAACTTTAAAAAAAAAAAATATATATATATATTAGCATTTTTTTTTGAATTTTTTTGTTTAATCAACCATTAATAGACATAAATTGGAAATTTTTTTAAAAAAATGAATGTAAGTCATAAAAATTTATTTTGATTTTTTAGAATTTTTTGTTTATAATTTGTAATAGTATAAATAAAGAGTTAGGGACAAAAACACTCTAACATAATATTTGGACCAACAATTTATGTAGAGAGAAGAAAAGTGGGAGAGAGTAGCCCATTAAATTTCTTGTGAGAAAAAAAGATTTGTGTGAATTATTTATACTGAAAAATTACATGCAATTTATTTTTGGAGAGAATCACATTGCATGGATAAAAATTAGACATTTATTAGAATTTTGACTTGAGCATCATTTTTCTATTTAGATGAATGCTTTCCATATTTCATATAAAATATTATATACACTTTCTTTTGAAAATAATCAAAATTTTATTTTAATGGATAAATGAGAGTCAATCAATGGAATTTACTTATAAATCTCATCTTGAGAAATGGTGATCCGATTAGTTTCAAGAGTTTTCTTATAGACAATTAGTCCCATTAATTTTGTAAAGATAAATTTAATATATTATTTGAAAATTAAATTTACGGTTATACCTTTATTTCTATTATTATTGTTTTCTTTTATGTTAGAAAGGTAAGGTACACAACCTATAATAATCAAATTTGTGATGAATTTTTATATATGAATCTTTTTATTTAAAATGACTTGAGATATGAAATTCTCCAAACATTTCAAAAGGATGTAGAATTATTCAAATATTTCAAAAGGAATATAAAAACTCTTAGTAAGTTTTGAGCAAATGTATAATTTCAATCTGTAACACTCTAATGTAACATACAAAAAAAAAAAAAAAAACTCATTATAATTTTTCCAAACATAATACTTCAATATAACTCTCCAAAAAAACTCATTATAATTTTTTCAAACATAACACTTCAATATAACTCTCCAAAAAAACTTATTATTACACTTTTTCCAAACGTAACACTCCGATATAATACTCCAAAACAACTTAACACTCTAATGTAACATTCCAAAAAAACTCTTTATTATACTTTTTCCAAATGTAACACTCCAAAAAAATTCCTTATTATACATTTTCCTAAGGTATTAGTGCAACACTCCAATATAACACAAAAAAATTTCTTAGTGTACTTTTTGTAAACGTAATATTTTAATGTAACACTCCAAAAAAAGATGTGGGATTCTTTAAACCATTAAAAAAGGAGTACAAAAATTCTTTAGTAAAATTTAGGTAAATGCATACTTTCAAACTGTGAGTGTTACATTTGAAAAAAGTATACTAGGTAATTTTTTAGTATTTTTATGTGTTCTATTGGAGTGTTACGTTTGAAATTACATTGATTGAGATGTTACATTTGAAAAAAATACACTAAGGAATTTTTTTTGATGTTACATTAGAGTGTATTATATTGGAATGTTACGTTTGGAAAAGTATATTAAGGAATTTTTTAGTATGTTACATTGAACTATTAAGCTACTAGAGTGTTACATTAGAGTGTTACGTTTTTTATTCGTAATGTGGGATTTGTTCCAGAATGAAAGAAAATCCAAAACCTCTATAGTGCGGATTACCCAAATGTGTAATTTCACATTTAGAGAAACTCACTTTTATTCCTCAAAAATTAAACTTAAACGTGTAAGTGATTATCCTTTTTGCGTGTGTTGTTTTCTGACCACACTGCCAGACAGGTACTCAGCAGGATAACACCGACGGAATAGATTGCGCCCGAACGACCTGTCACAGAAAGATAAGACTCTGGCGGTGGTTCGTCCACCCGGGGGCACTTCGACGATCAAGTCAGTACTTAGTTATCTCTCAAAAATAGCAGATAGTGCTTTTACTCACTAGTCAGAACACAAAAAGCATACCTTAGACCCACGAGGGTGCCTTACTTTTATAGTCAGCACTAACCTGATCCTTGCAGAAGCCTAGCTTCCCTTGGACTCTGGCCTAATACTCATCCTGGACTCTTCATTAGATAAAGATAAACTCCCTAA